TGAAGTACTCCATAATCCTCTGGTCAAAGTCCTCTCCTGCAATCAAGAAGCCATAAATGTGTTAAATGTGAATTGTGAACAAAGCTGATTTACACTGAGAGCTATTGAACTAGTTTACAACTTGAAATTCATCAACTAGCATAAATTTTCTCCAAGCTAGTTCAGATAATGAAAGGGAAAAAAAACAAAGAACTAGTGGAATTTTTAGTATCACATCAATAAATGGGGAAAATATAGAAACCTATCAACAAAAAGTACAGCAATTTATAGAGCTAAGAAAAAGGGTGCTGACCTCCCAGGTGAGTGTCTCCATTTGTGGAAAGAACTTCAAAAACACCATTATCAATGGTGAGGATGCTAACATCAAATGTACCACCACCAAGGTCAAAGACAAGGATGTTCTTTTCACCACCTTTCTTATCTAATCCATAGGCAATTGCTGCTGCAGTTGGTTCATTAATAATTCTGGCCACATTTAGTCCAGCGATTACACCTGCATCCTTAGTGGCTTGCCTCTGGGCATCGTTAAAGTATGCTGCAGGATTTAAAGGAGAGGATGCATAAGAATCTCGACAATCATATCACACAATAATTGGAGCAAGCACAATCCAGAGAAGGAACTTTCAATGTTACCTGGAACAGTGACAACTGCATCCTTGATTTTCTTTCCGAGGTAAGCTTCAGCTGTTTCCTTCATCTTGGTCAGGATCATTGCACTGATCTCCTCAGGACTGAAGATCTTGGTCTCCCCATCTTTAATCTTAACTTGGATATATGGTTTACCATCCTTGTTAACAATCTTGTACGGAACAAGTTTCATGTCCCTTTGTACTTCTTTGTCATCAAACCTATCAGATAGACAGGTTAGAGTCATTGCTATTATATCAAACAGACATTCAGATATAATATTCAACAAAACAGAAAATGCATTACTTTCTTCCAATAAGTCTTTTGACATCGAAGATGGTCCTCTCTGGGTTAACAGCGGCTAAATTCTTTGCTGCCTCACCAATCAGCCTCTCACCATCAGTGAAGGCAACCCATGAAGGGGTGATACGATTACCTTGGTCATTCGCTATAATTTCAACATGTCCATTCTTGTAAACACCAACACATGAGTAAGTTGTTCCAAGATCTATTCCAATAACTGTTCCCAACTTGGTAGCTTCTTCAGTGGCTATAGAAAATGCGAACAAGCACCCTGTAGAGAAACAAAACAACCTTGCTAGTCAATACATTGTAATGAGTTATGACTATGAACATCTATAATTATCACTTTTTTCCAGTTTAAGTGACTAAACTACACCCTTTCCCCAAACAAAAGAATATTCCAACGTTAGGACCAAATATAGCAATTTTTTTCTTAACGTCCTTCAGTGTCCCTTCATATCCAGGTGTCTCTTTCACATTTGTTTTTCAAAAATAGCATTGCTAGTCATTACAATTTTTAACACATACGACAAATTTCTGTAGTGCTCCCCAGAGAGGAAGCTGGAAAGCTGAGAATAATAGAAATATCTCATTTAAAAGAGGTTTAAGAATATATCAGAAGGCATTGGAGGATTATTTTTGCAATCACACTTCTAGTAGTATAACAGAGTGGCTCTTGTATATGCATTTAATCAAACATGATTGCCCACAAAAAGGAAAGGAATAGGAACTGAAAATTGAAACCCACTCAAACTTCATGATTTTTAACAATAAATGTATATAAGATGCCATTTCATTTTTTTTTTGATTAAATAATCAGGATGATCAGAAATCAAATGAATTAGGCATTCAGTCTCTTGCATCCAAGTGATTTCATACCACTACCCTCTGAACTAACAGAGAGGTAGTAGATCTGAAGATTGCAGAATATGATAGCAAAAACTGACTATAGTCTACACATCTAAAAGTAAATGACATTTAATCTATTAACCTAATTGTCGGACAATTGCAACTATCATTGCTAAACACGTCTTGAGCTGCTCAAAACTCATTCAAATTCGAATTTTGTCTATGAGATTTGCATCAACACAGAAAGGTAAAAAACAATTGAAGATAAGATTTGCATGCAAAACAATCGAAAAGCTTACCGAACAAGACGATCCCGAAGACGATCAAGGATGTGCGTCTATTCCACGCACCACCAGCCATTGCTCCACGATCTGAACACGTTCCACTTATCAACTTTCTTTAAACACAGGCTAACAACTCCTCCTTCGCCTCTCTTCTTCGTTCTCTATTCCGTACACAAACGGTTATGGACTCTTCAAATATCAACTAGAGATCCAGCATACATATATAAAGGGTTCGTCTTCCCTCGTGCCAAAAAAAAACATTTTTTGCTGAAGGCGTCATATCTGATGACGTGGACCAATCAGATGCAAGATAGGTGAGAGTGAGAGCCAATGAGCAGCTGCCACTTTGCTTTTAAACGAATTTGGAGCTAAAATGACGAGGAAAAAAGAAGTGTAAATAGACGGAGCATGTCATGGGAGATGACATGGACCAATCAGGAGAGGAGAGATGCCAATCAGCTTCTATTTTCTGTTGGAAAGATCTAAACCGTTGGTTTCACATATGGATTGGTCGGTGACATAGCAAGGGTTTTCAGGTAAACCACGTAAGCGCTTGGCAGTTGGCGCCTAAAGCCTTGCCTAACTAGAGTTTACTAGAAAAACTCATTCTTGTTATAAATATATTATATTATGGATGTTCATTTAGTACTCCATTGTAAATAAGTTTCCTGAAAAAGTTTATCCATATGGGACTCCACCGTAAATATGTTTATCTATTTAAGTACTCTATTGGAAATAAGCTTCGTGAAGAAGCTTATCACTTCGATACCCGGTTATGGATAAACATTACCCCCGGTAGAAGATTATCCATACCGGATATAATAATCTTATCCTTTCAATACCCAGTTATGGATAAACATTACCCCCGGTAGAAGATTATCCATATCGGGTATAATAAGCTTATCCTTTCAGTACTCCGTTATGGATAAACATTGCTCTCAGTGGAAGATTATCCATATCTGGTATAGTAGCAGCTTACACAACAGCTTCCTTTCTTCTATAAATAGAAGAGATTTCAGTTCATTATGTACATCAGTTTGAATTCGAATAATATAACAGTTTCTCTTTATACTTGTCTTTACTTTACAGTCTTTATTTTATAACACGTTATCAACACGAGACTTTGCCATCTCGAGCAAATATCNACTGTGGAATAATTTGAAAGATAGATATGAGCACCTGAAGATGGTCGTTCTTCCACAGGCACGACATGATTGGACTCATCTAAGGCTACAAGAGTTTTTAAATCTATCAGTGAGTATAATTCTGCTATGTTCAGAATTATTTCCCAATTGAATTTATGTGGTGATAATATTACTAATCATGATATGTTGGAGAAAACTTTTACCACTTTTCATGCCTCGAATATGCTCATGCAGCAGCAATATCGAGTGATGGGATTTAAAAAGTATTCTGAACTTATCTCACATCTTCTTATAGCCGAGCAACATAATGGGCTATTAATGAAAAATCATGAAAGTCGACCTACTGGTCTTTGTCCATTCCCTGAAGTGAATGAGACGAACTTCCACCAGGCTAAACGTGGAAAAGGTCGTGGCCCCAATCGTGGTCATGGTCGTGGTCGGGAAAGAAACTCTAATCATGGTAATAATAATGCACCAAAGAACACTCCTCACCAC